GATTCAAAAGTCCTGACATCCCAAGCTCACATCAAATCAATTTAAGCTTAGCTCAAGGATTAACAAAAACCTTAAGAGGTATTATAATAATCAATAAAAACCTAAGGGTTTATTATGTTCCGAGTCCAAACCGATATTCGGACTAATCATTAGAGTTATGCAATCAAATTTTTCACAAATGAAGACGAAATGGAATTCAACATAAATCGAAGATGAAGGCAAATAGGTTCTTTATATTTATAAGAGATGTTTAACGGTCACGAGGGGACCTTACACAAAAACAAAGAAACAAAAAAGAACCTAATCTATTTTGGGGCAACATCCCTGGAAGCAACATCCGCAAGAACTGCATCCTCGGGAGCTCTATCTTCGGGAACCTCCCCCTCCTCGGGGACTCCATCTTCACCTTCCCCGCCCTCGGAACCACTCACAACATCTTCATCATCATAAGAAACAAGAAACCTAGCATCGGTTTCCAGCACCTTTGCTTGGGCTATTTCTTCAGCAAGCTCAAATCCTCGGGCGTGAATTTCTTCGAGAGTCTCCCTCCAAGCTTGGCACTTAGCCAAATCATTACTCCATTTTTCCCGATCAGAGGCCTCCCTTAGCTCCGCTTGAATAGCCTCAGCATCCCTTAAGTATACGATGACGGTCTCATCAGTCGTAGCCTTTGTCTTCTCAACTTTAGCCTTGGCTTGTGCAGCATCGACCCCGGATTTGGCAAGCTCTACCTCTAAATCCTCAATTTTCCTGGCCTGGGCCAGATTCTTCACTTTAATGCCTCGGAGTTGAGTTTTAGCCGAGGCCAGTTGGGTTGTAACAGATTTCTTATCGGCTGCGAGTTGATCCATGTTTTCTTTCAATCGATGGCAGTCAGTCTTAACTTGATTGACCTCACCCCAGAGCTGCCCAATCATCTCCAACTTTTGCTGCAACTGAGATATCGAAGTGTTAGCCTCCGAAGTAAGGCCGAGAAGACCATACTCTATTAAAATCACAGTTACCTGCTCATCAAGCTCGGCCTTATTTTTCCAAGCTTTGGCCAATTCAGTCCGAAGGTCCTTGAGCTCCTCCTCCTTTTGGCTACAGAGGAGCCTTAGGGCCTTCTCTTCACCCGAAGCCTTCCTGAGCTTAGCCTCACATTGGCTCATCTAGGCCCTAAACTTTACAATTTCCTACACATGAAACCAAGACATGTCTGTCAAAGGAAGGGGAGAAAAGAAAAAATTACGACAAATAAAATAAAATGTTTACCCGAGAGAATAGACGTTGAGCCTCTTCAAAGAGAGTGGATGCGTCATTAAGGTCAAAGGCATCGTCAATCCCGGTGAAACAGTCCTGGAAAGGATCTTCTTCGAGAAGCTTACTCGGGTTGGGTGTTCGTAGAGCCTGAGCGTCCTTTATTGCCTTCTCGGAGCAAGATGGCAGAGAATGTGAGTGACCCATTGTCACAACCCTGAGCTCCTCATTCGGGGTGGTCTGATTAACTTTGGCCCCCTTAGTACTTGTCCACTCCGGCATATTTGTTGAAGGAGGGGGAACGATCTCGATCTTGGGGGACTTCAGGGCTTTACTCGAGTCTCTCTTCAGAGTTCCTTCATCGAGAGGCAAGATCTCAGGTTTAGAGGACTTGGTGGCCTTGACTAATTTCCTAGTTTGGGGCACCAGTGTCGATTCTTCGCCTTCGTTCTCTTCGTCTTCCAGGTGTTGGGTGGATGAATCCAAGTCAACATGAATAATCTTCCTCCTCGGCTTCCGAGTAGGGGCCAACTCATCTTGGGTATCTTCGGGCTTTGAAGCCTTTTTTTTTGTCTTTCCCTGATTTCAAAATCAGGGACTCGGTCCCTTCCCCAAGCGGGGTTGGCCTCATTTTAGAGACATCTCTGATGCTTGCACAAATAAACATGAATGAGATGACATCGCTAGTAAAAGAAAAGTATCGAAACCTAGGAAGAGAACTTACCATGATGTTTGGCCTCCCATTTACCCCTCGATAAATCGCGCCATTTGCGCTCATCATACGATGAGGTAGCAACTGACTTTTAGACCCAGTCCTCGAGGTTAGGGATAGTATAGGGAGTCCAAGCAATAGCTACAGAAAAGGTAAAGGCATTGTGAAACACAGAAGCAGAATATGAATGGGTATTTGGAAAAGAACTCCACTTACGATTAAAGTTCCATCTCTCCGGGAACGACATTTTTTCCCTAAGGATGGCATCCGAAGTCCTCACTCTGATGAACCGGCTCATCCAGCCTCGATTTATGTCTTTGTCGTTACTATCAAAGAAGGCCTTCTTTGTGCGATGTTGCATCTTGATGAGCCCTCGAAACAACTAGGGCCAATACAGCCGAATAAGATGGTTGAGGGTAAATTCCAATCCCTTGGCCTTACCAGAAAAATAGCGCAGCATGATCACAATGCACTAAAAGGAGGGATGGATTTGGTCGAGGGTAACCTCGTACCGTTTGCAAATATCGATCACTACCGGATCGAGGAGACCAATGTGAAGGGGTAAGTGTAAACACTTAAAAACCCCTCCACGTGGGTAGTGATGCTTTCCTCGAGGCTTGGGATCTGAACCACGACCTCGTCTCCCCAGCCACAGTCCTTCTTCATGGTTTTGAGGTACTTCTTCGATATCGAGCTAATGTATTGAGATACATGTTTGCATCGGCCTGGGCTATTGGGAGGATTTTCAACATTAAAATCCTTCTTTATCACGCAAGGACCGGGGGTGGTTTCGTGAAGAGCCGGCGGTGCCACCGGTTTGGCCGGCCGAAAAGTAGAAGAAGACGATGCTTTCTCTTTTTGGGGGACTATTTTGGAAGTTTTAGCCATAGGTTCAAGCTATGGAATACAGGCGGTAGCAGAGCGTGATGCTTTACCGGAGCTTGAAGTTTTCTGGTGACCGGATTAAAAAGCGATTAGAGGAGAAGGAGATGAAGGGGAAAAGTGATCAGAGTAAATACAATGAAGAGGTCAAGTTTTCAGTTCAAAGAAGGAACCCCATATTTATAGATGAGAGGAGACGGTTCAGCGGTGCTAGTGGCCGACCATTACTGGCATACATTTAATGTTTTAGGGAAGCGGACCGACGAGACGTTTTGGTCACTTTGAGCACTTACATCACGAGGATGACGTCATCGTCAACGGCTCCAAAAAATCGAGGTTCAAATCGTTTCTTGTCATTTTACTCTAAGAAATGCAGGGACTATCTGTATATGGCGAAATCAGGTGCCCTCGATTCAGCAGGCTTGAGACGTTGCATCGAGGGATGAAGTTCGATAAAGACCAAGTCAGGGCTCGAAGGCAGAATAAGAGGCTCGAAGACCTTAGTGTTCAAGGAATATCGAAGCCAAGTATGACCGACTCCGAGATAGTGTCGTTGTAAGTTTGTTACACAAGGACAAGATTCTCGCCACGTCTCCAAGATCATGGCATAAATTCCAGAATAGATTTGTACGAATTAGTACAAATCTGTACCATGCGGTTATACAACAGTCCCAATAAGATTTTTTACTGTAAATAGAAATGTACCTTATTTAGGGCTCCCCTCCTATATAAAGGGGACCCCAATCATTTGTAAGAATCATCTAATCATTGGCAAAGAATATATATTATCTTACTTTTTTGCTCATTGTTCATCAGTATTGTCCTTTAGCTGAGGTCGAAACTGACCTATCTACTGGTTTGGTCTTGCTTATTTTCATTATCTATACTTCATATTTCTTGATTATTAATTGGCATTGAACTGAATGATGTATCTTTAAAACCACAAATCGAATTTAATTGTTACTCGTATTTTCGAGGTAAACACCTATAATCCTTAATACCACATGATTCAACATTCTCACTTTTACATAAAAATGTTGAACCACGGTAACTTCTCAAAAATATAAATTCAAAAATGTCAACTTTTATCTATTTAACAATTGATTGAATTTAATAGAAACCAAAAGGAAAAAAAAGATGAAGAAAAAAAGAACACCATGAGTATGAAAGACAAAAGATCAAAATAAGTATGAAGATCCGAAGTCCAAATTCAATAGCGACATTTTCTTCTTGTTAGATTTATTGTTCATTTCTGCTTCTATAGATGATAGGACAATTATTTCCAATTATAAGTAATTTGGCAGAGTCCTCTGAGTGCTCAAACGAGCATATGAAATGAAGTTCAAAGAGAATAATTTTACTCGCATGAAATTTTGGAAGAGAATGCTTGTTGATTTCTCAACATGGTATGGTGAGAGGAGATAATTTGATATTAAAGAGAACAAGTGTGTTGTGATAAGTTTTAAATAGGTTGAATATTGCACTATCTAGTTAATGAAGGAGAAAATCAAGGAGTCAATAATATTAATTCAATTAAGAGAGATATATTACACTATATATGTACATTGCCCTCAACTATGTACTCCATTGTATTGAATCAAAGTTAGTATATTCACCTTTAATTCTTAGAGTACAGTATCCTACTTTAAGTATACCAAGATGGAAAATCATAAAGAGACACAATAGAAGAATAGATAATTTTCATATGAATTACTGCTATGGAGTACCTATATTTAGGGAATATATATATATAATTAGTAGAATTTTTAATCGCCGTAGATTATGGAATATTTTTGTAACTATGAAAATTTCCCAAAATTCTCGCAGGTAACTGATGTACGGTTTAAAATGTGATAAATAATACTCCTAGGTTTGTCTTTTTTTTTTTTAATATAAAAAAATAACTTTTTCCACTTGAATATCAAACATATTTCACGCAACAAGATTTGAACTTATGATTTGTGCCTATAGTAATGCGTTCTTTATTAAACCAACAGCCAAGGGCGTTTGCCGTTAACGCGTTTCTCTTTTTCTCCTAATCTTGTGCGACTCGATTGGATTAAAGAAGGAACAATTTTAATTTGACCATGTGGTCAAAAATAAAAGAGAAGATTCTATTCAAAAGGTTCTAAAGTAGTTTATAAATCGCAAAGTATAGCGAGTCAAATTGAGCATACTTATGTCTATTGATTTACTCAGCTTCGATGGCATGCCTGATCCTTCCCCTCAATGGAAAGCTTATCTCTCGATTTTACATAAATCAACTTAAGGCACATAATTAAAAACTGGAGCTAAAAAAAAAAACAAGAAAAGCCCTTTATTCGAAGTTGATAAATTATTTCAGCATTTTTCAAGTCGAAGAACACTTGTCAGTTAGTTGTCGGAGCTTCCTTTCCTCTGAGAGCAACTTAACAAAACGGATAATAGCTTCTTCATTAGTCCCCTCCCCATGAACTGCTTCATATCGTCCTGTCTCCAAGTTGACCCTTGACACTGGCTTCTTCAATAGATCATTACCAATCTTCACAAGTGTCTCCATGTTTTCTTTGGTTGCCACATCCATATTTGCGGCGTCCCCTGTCAAATTATCATCCTATGCAAATATAAAAATAACATCAAGTGAGAAAATATGTCACGAGAGACGGCATTTAACTTATATATACTGATAACATATGTTACTGTATTTTAACCTTAATTATTAGAAGGTCTAAAACTGTTACCTGGATTCTGAGGTAATTCTTCTCACTGCCAAAGGACTTAAAAATGGTGGAAAGGTGTATGTCCACAATATCAACACTTGCATCACCATAAACATCAATCAATGGACTGGCACCATTGTTGTACATCCAACCAAGTAAGCCCCATTTTGAAGCTGAGGCTGCGTTATAATTCTCTTCATGCTTGCCTATACCCGTGCCCAGCGACAGAACCAACATTCTCTTGCAGTCCATGGTTTTTACACCCTCATATTGGAATTTCCCGTTCATCATTTCTTTTATAACGTGAGTCATTGCCATTAGAGTCTACAAATATAATTTGTAGAAAATTGTCATTCACATATTCGGAACAGCTGATTACCAATATTTCAGGTTAATTTCATCGTAGGTTCATTGAACTTATCCATTATAACAGTAAAGTTAACAAAATTATTTTTGGTCATAGTAAAGTAACTGAATGATGTTGATTTGCTCAAAAACTACAAATGAACAGAAGGTAAAAATTTCAGTGGAGAATAGTGTTTCTTCTTCTTTTTTGTTTAATTTAATAATTATAATTTTCTTTTATTTTATAAAAAACGGGTATTCAATTTTTTACAAAGTGATTTTTTTTTATTTTCTAAGCCAATTTTCGACCTTCCAGTCATTTATATCTTCTGGATATTTCAAAACATATATAGTTTAAATACTTAACAAAAGTTCTATGACTTTACTATTATAATAGGTAAAATTTGGCGATTATACGTGAAAATAACCTCAAAGTTTCACATGTAAGTTTTTTATTATATTCTTCTAATTTTCAATTGGCCACTCACTGGATTATTTGCAGCTACACCTCCATCAATAAGATCAAATGTATGCGTTTTCCCTTGAGCATCCTTGGTCTCAAAATAGTGTGCAGGGAAATAAGTGGGTGCTGCTGAGGTACCAAGACAGATGTCTGATAGTAGCGCATCCTTAGATACATTTGCTCTTGCCTGTAAGAGAGAAATTCAAATATAAAAATCATGAGCAGAAAATGGATTAGTAGTAAAGAGACATAACTAAATATTGTTTAGGTAAAAAGAACTGTACATCAAGGGTAGTGAAAATTATGGGTTGAAGGCGCTTGATATCAAAAGTTGGGATGACTATATCAGTCAATGTCTGCTTGGTAGTAAGATTGCCTAATGTTGACTTAACCAATGATCTCAGGTACTTGCCGTCATACTTTGGCCCCCCAAATATCCTTGAGAACTTCTCCACAAATCTGGTGCGGCTGCATTACAATGAAGATTTGACATTATCAATATTGGTGGCAAAATCAATTCAGCTTTTAATTAGTAACATGTGCTTAACTCGCCCAAATTTAAATGGTTTAGATTGACGCATCATTTGTTGTCTGAAATGATCCATCAGATTGTTGGGAAAAACAGGTCAAATAGTGTACTCAACACCAAAATACAAGACAAATATACAAAATCAAATTTGGAAATTGACGCTAATAACTTAAGAAAAAATACATTTTAACTTTTTGTTTCTGTAAGAAAGCAAAATTAAAAAGGAGGGAAGTTGGGTCATCATATTGGGTGGGGTTGGGATATACATTGACCCAATCCATTTTGACCTAAATACACTTTGTGCGAATTGAGTTAATCGTTTATTAATTTGACCCGTTCCAACCCATCCATTTGACACCTCTAATTAGCATTGTGTTCGCCCAAATATTTAAAAAAGCACTTGATTATCAACTGTTTTAGCTAACCTGCTCGTAGGAAAGATTTTAGGGCTGTGCTCCATGTAGAAGTTGGTAATATCTTTTGCTGCATATAAAGGGAGGTTATCTTTGTTTGGGGCTGTAAGCATAGTTGTTACCAATCCGCCTGTACTTGTTCCAGCAACCACATCAAAATAGTCTGCAATTCTTGCATTTGGTCCGTCAATTTCCTAAAATAACAAGATATGTTGAGGATCATTACAGCCTTAACTTTCAATCATAGAAGGAAATTAAAAAATAAACGTAGTATAGTTAAGCATTGTAGAAAAAAATGGTTGACAAGTACCTGAAGTTTGGATTCAAGGAAAGCAAGAAGGGTGCCAGGAATAATGCCTCTGATGCCACCTCCATCTATGCTCAAAACTGTTACCATCTTTCCTTTTGTAGCAGCAGAAACCATAAAAGGTTGTAGGACATGAAGGAACACTACTAACAGTGTTAGTGCTGCTAAGAAAATCCTCCCCATATATAATGTGTCAAGTGCAATAGATTAGCAAAAGTTTAGACTGATGATAGTTGGAAGGAAAGAGGATAGTGATGTCCCTATTTATACTCTCACCTTTTCTTTGTTTGCTGTAAATTTCCTAGTTACTTCATATTGGCTGTTAAATTATTGGAGTTTAACTTTTACATATTGACCTAAAATAATAGATCCTTTAGGTGTAGTTTAGTTATCATGTTTTTCTTTTACACGTTCTTTAAGAAATTACTCCTTCCGTCTCAAATTATATGTCGTGAATTTTAAAAAGGGTTGTCTCAAATTATTTGTCATTTTAGATGTTCAAGAGTAAAATAATTATTTTTGCCTATTATACCCTTAAAATTAATTGTTCTTGAAGATTACAAATACCTTAATTATGAGTAAGTATTAAATGGAAAGAAAGTATATCTTAAGACATAAATAAAGATAAAATATTCAAAAACCTTTCTTATTTAATACTCCCTCTGATCCACAATAAGTGACCAATTTGTCTTGCACTACCAAAAAAATGCTATTTTCAGACTACATATTCCGACTACAAAATAATAGTCGTAATTTTCCGACTACAGTAGTCGGAAAAGTATAATTTATTTATTTTAATTTGTAGGCGACTGCCTTTTCGACTATAGTAGTCGTAATATTTGGCGCAAAATCCCGCGAATTAGTTTTTCCGACCACTATAATCGGGACAAAGTCAATAAAAAAATTTGACCAATCTTCCGACTACAGTAGTCATAACGTTTAAAAATTAATTTTTAATTTTTCTTAAATTCTAGACAAAATTAATTAGTGTGACTAAACTACCCTTAATTAAATATTGCAACATAATTTAATGTGAGGAGGAAAAGATGTTTTAAGGATACACACATAACAATAATTTTGGAAAAACAAATTGAATTTTTTCTTGATTATATAAATGGAAACTTATTTTGGACCAAAATAAAAAGGCAAATTAGTCACTTATTTTGGACTGGAGGGAGTATTTTCTTAAGGGACGTATGAAAAGGTACATGATAGATAATTTGAGACAAAGGAGGTATTATTAATAAGAGGACTTTTTGACTACTATACCCTTGTTTATACTCTTTATTTCTATGTTTTTATGCTATATAGTCAATATTTTGTACTTTTTAAGAACATTTAATACTAAGGGCAAAATAAAAAAAGTAATTAATTATACCTTAATTTTCTAAAATGATATATAATTATTTTAGATCAATTATATTTAGTAACCAGAATAACTAATATAGACCAAAGAGAGTAATGATCCCTGCTTTGATTGTATATGCGGAACAGCATTACTAGTAATCAGAGGCGGCTCAAGATTATTAGAGGCCTAAAGCCAAACTCTTTTAAGAGGTCTTAAACTTTAAAATAATAAACTTCAAATTTAAATGAAAAATTAATAGTATGTTAGAACACTAGAACTTGATTCTAGAAGTCAATAACTTGATATAGGATAAATTCATTATTGCTGCAATGCTTAAAAAAATGAAAATGAAGCAATTTTAATTTATTCACGTTTTCTATTGATAAAAACTCATCGACACTGAGAGTTTGCACCTAACTAAATAATTAACCTTAAGAATCAACAAATCAAAGTGAAAATGTATATCATTCAACTACGGTTAAATGTAAAAAAAATATGTGTGCAAGAGATATCTTACATTTATTTTTACCGATTTTCATCCTTTTATCTTTTTATAGAATAGACAACTTAGTAATAGGGGGAAAAGAGAATATAAAATACAAGTTTTATTTTAAGAAAGAAAACGAAGAAGAATATTAATATGAGAGTGCAAATTAAGTATTAGTCATCATAAGTCACATTGGCTAAATAATAATCTCTATTCTTTTTAGAAAAATTTTATACTTTTTTACCATAAATATTCAAATATATTTTGGAAAAATTACCTTATTATTAACCTATTATTAATTTAAAAAATGGGGCCCTAAAAATTTTGGGGCCTAAACCCTTGCTTCATTGGCTTTACCCTCTGGCCGGCACCGCTAGTAATCTACTTTAACCATATAATAATAACACAAATGGCACACTATTAGTAATGATTAAATCCAAATTTATGGGGGAATTTCACATGGCATTTCGTTCCCAGCAGCCGTCGTTTTTGACTTTTTTTTTGTTTCTCGTCGGATGTCTGATTTCTGATCCGACTAATTTGGATTTGAATCATACACATAGATTTTATTAAAAAATAAATTTATTCTTATACTTCAAGATATTTGATTAAGCCCCATTTGGTCATACATTTTGGCAAGTTTTTTTCAAATTTTTTTTTAAAAATATTATTTGGCCATAGATTAGTGATCTGTTTTTGAAAAATTTCTGAAAATATTTTTCAAGTTTTCAAAATCTAGTTTACGGTAGATTTTGGGTGAAAATCAAGTTCCTACTCACAAAACTTTAAATTTTTTTCAAATAAAATACATGTCCAAATATAATTTCAACTTCCAAAAATTATTTTTCAAAATTACTTCAAAAATTATTTTTCAAAATTACTTCAAAAATTACTTTTTCAAATTTCAACTCAATATATGTCCAAACGCTAGCTAAAATTAAATGGATATACAATCCATATATCCCACCGGCCACCACAAATACAATCCTTGGAGGTCATCGTCTTTGACTCGCTAACTTCGATACGGCGTGCTGTACTCTTTCAAGTCTTCACGTGACAAAGTTTAATACGCCAAATAAATAAACTCTCTAGTAATACAAAATCGATGAACGCAAGGCTATTTTAATTTTCATCTATCGTACTAGTATTAGTATTCATAATTTCAGACACGTTCTTGTTTACTGCTATTATTACAGCTTTCGGCAGGCACCAATACCATGAAAAATTGCTTTTTTTTTTATAAAACTCTCGTGGCCAAATGGAGCTTTATGGATCTCAAAGATCTTCTTTTATCTTAAAATTCAAGTTATCTTTCCCTTTAGAGTGAAAAATTAATTAATTATAATAACTTCATAAACGTGGGTTTTGATTACTACTCACTAGTAGCAGAATATAAAAATCATATGCATCTATGATTTTGTCCATCATGTTTAATTTTGCTCCAATCTAGACACACTCTATATATATATATATATATATATATATATAAGAACGAGAAATTTTGAATATACCAGCCAGCTCATTCCTTGGCCTGAAAATTGTGATGACCTGGATCTATCACTTGCTTTTAATTGAATTTTGTATCGTCGAGGCCTTGAAATCCTCATTTAGAGTCGCTTCGATTTGCGTGCGCAGTCCGGACATATAGTCAGAAAGCTTAAATATGAAAATTTGTGAAAAATAATAAAAATTTGGTTATAAAATGAGTAAAATTGACTTCAGTCAACGTTTTGGATAAACGGACCCGGACCCGTGATTTGACGATCCCGGAGGGTCCGTAAGAAAATATGGGACTTGGACGTATGCCCGGAATCGAATTCCGAGGTTCCGAGCCCGAGAAATGAATTTTCAAAGAAAATTATTTTCTGAAATTGTTTAAGGAAACTTGGAATGAAATTTGATTAGAACATGTTAGCATCGGGCCCGTATTTTGGTTCTGACGCCCGGTACAGGTCTGATATATGATTTAAGATGTTTCTGTGAAATTTTATTAAAAACGGATGTCATATGACGTGATTCAGACTTAAATCGCAAAGTTGATGTTTAAAGAAGTTTTGATAAAATTTCATTGATCTCGAGATTTAATTTGATGTTCATGATGTTACCTTGATGATTTAATTACACGAATAAGTTCGTAGGATATTTTTGAGGTTTTGTGTGCACTTGGTTTGGAGTTCCGAGGGATCGGGTGAATTTCGGGTAGATTCTGGGATGTTTTATGCTTAAAATCAGAAGTTGCAGGCCTCTGAACCCGCTAGTGCGGTCAGCCTTGTGCGATGCGCGGTGTAGGGCTGTGCGGCCGCAGTCGACTTTGTGCGGTCCGCACAGGACACTGGACTGCAGTATCCTCAGGAAGGCTGTGCGACCGCAGTTCATTTTGTGCGGTCCGCACAGGGGGTCTGAGAGGGGTATAAATACACGGGTTTTCCAGTTATTTTCATTTTTCAAAACCCCATAAACATAAGAGGCGATTTTTCAAACAACCTTTCTTTTGCAAATCAATTGTAAGTCGTTTTTAACTAGTTTTCTAACATCTTTTAACATAATTTCAACTTCAAATCAATGATTTTCATAGGGGAATTTGGGTGTTTTGGGTAGAACCTAGGTTTTTCAAAAATTTGGGATTTGGACCTCGATTTGAGGTCCGATTTCAAAACAAATTACATGTTTGAGCTCGTGGGGGAATGTGTAATCGGGTTTTGGTTCGAACCTCGAGTTTTGATCATGTGGGCTCGGGGTGATTTTGACTTTTTGGGTAAAACTTTGGAGAACTCATTTTCATGCATTCAAATTGATTCATTTAGCGTTTATTGATGTAATTAAGTAACTTGTGGCTAGATACGAGCGAATTGGCTGAGGAATCAAGGGGTAAAACTATAATTGAAACTTGAGTTGTGTTCGAGGCATCGAGGTAAGTGTTTGGTCTAACCTTAGCTTGAGGGATTAAGAGTTTTGTTCTATTTACTATTTTTTTTTGTTGAGTACGACGTATAGGCATGGTGACGAGTATCTATGCGTTGGTGTCAAGCATGGCCGTGAGTCTTATCTTGTGATTTTCATGATTTCGTTGTATTATTCATGCCTTGGTGAAGATTTCTATCTGTTGTGTAAACTTGTGGGAAGAATTGTGACATATGAACATTGAGGAGCGTTGGCTCCAGTTGTATAACGAATTGTGAAAGTATATGTGATATTTGAAACTCTAGAGCATTGGCTCGAGTTGTGAAGTAAATTGTGAAGTAAAAGTGAGAAAGAGAAGAGATCATTATGTTGCCCCCTTGCCGGGCTATTGTTGAGTTGAGGTTCCCTTGCATTGTGTTCGTAATTGATATTACAGATGCTTAGGTTGATGATTCTTCGTGTTAGATGTTGAAACTAGTTGAGTTATAGTTGAGATA